TTAATCAGTCAGAATCACATAAAGAATGCGTTTAAATACTTCAGCAATATTCTGTTCAGTATATCAACTGGAGTAGGAGAATTTCTATGAAGTGACATAAATTGTGAAGTGCCTCGAACTATTAATCTTGACCCAATGGTTTCAACCGCAAGGATTTGATACATTTACCAGTATTGTGTTGACGCTTGTACATGTGCTTTAGAACTTCTGCTCAGTTTAACATTGCTATAGTTTTTCATCTTCAATACATTTTATGTCGTCTGCATCTGTGCTTCATATCGCTACTATTACAACCTTAGTCCTTCCCAGATGTTACTCTACATGAAAAACATATTTTTTCTATTCCAATCTTCTATCCTGTTAGTTGGTCTTGAAGCTTCATCTTACGCAATGTTATGCTAGAAATTCAGTAATCAAGTCATTTAATAAAAGTTCAAATAATCATGTGGAAAAACACATTTGTCAATTAGTGGTGTCAGTTCTTGCAGTCACATAACGAGATCTTTTGCAAGAAAAAAAAACTTAACGCTAGGACTGAGGTTCGAGTTAGACGCAAATAATAGTAACTAGTAGTATTATCGTCTGCCATAATTTTGTTGTTGATCTACTTACTGCATTGGAAGTTCATGACTATGGAACAGAAAACATCGTGTGCTGTCTGAGATGTATTCTGTAATATATCACTCTAATGAACAATTTTCGACAAGTATGAGCTATCTTTCATTACGTGAAAGACTTAAAACGAGGGAACAAGGTTATAGTCAGCAAATACTAAACACTCATTTCGATTTTCATGTTTCTCGAATTCAACATATCTGAAAGAAGCTTTTAGCACAAGCCATGTAAGATTGAAATAACAAACAAGACGGAATCATTCTAACCATTAGAGAGAGACCCTTGCCATGTTTATCGAAATTAATAGCTGGACGAAAACCACGACGTTGAAAATATTATCTATTATCACAGGCTTTGACAGACATGTCGAAAAACCTGCCATAGTCTGTGAGTGGGTCAAAAGAGCATTTACATACTTGCAATTGTGATGATGGTGTTATGAAAAGAGAAGAAGAGCAATTTGCATGCTTTGTACTTCAACACCCCTTTCCAAGCGTGTTTCACAAAAAACAATATGTATTTCTTGAATCGATTTTTCAATAGTAAATAATTTTGATTTTTGAACGAAGACATTTTCTAGCTGACTGGAGTTCGACTTGGTCTAATCATTCAATCAATTTCACTCTTGATAATTGCTCTTATACTTGGAGCAATTTTTTTATGGCAACTAACATTGGTCGTTTATGGTTTACTTGCTATTGTATTTATCAATGTTATTTTCAACATTCGACGAAACATTCGACTGGCAATTCTAATTCAGAAATTGGTATCACAGTACAGTGATTTAGTAACGCAGAGTGTGCGCAATATTCGCACTGTATTTCAACTTAATAGACAGCGTGAAACATTGACATCATTCGAACAAATCATTGAACGAAGATACAGGTAAGAGATTTGAAAAAATTCAATTCTCAATAAACGATTAGAAATAATCTATCAAAGAATGAAGCTTTCTCTGGTGAAAATATTCGAATGGCCAATTAAAAAAGAACAATATTTAAAACAAACATTCAAATTATTTTTTTAAAGACTGAAAGATAAAGAAGTTATGAAATATTGCGTATTTATTTGAGTTGACGAGAGCATGTAAGAAAATCTGATGATAAAAACCTATCATTCTGAAGGTTTTAAGAGACAATATTTTTGAATTTCCATACGATAATGATCCCTAACAGATATTTGATTAAAATGACACCAAAAAAAATGTGCATTCATATGTCAATCAAGAAATGTTCATTGATCGTCACTATGAACATCTAACTTTTGAAAGTTTTCTGAAATACTTTCTATACAAGACATTGTTTCATATTCGTTGTATTCAAATTCTTTTCCAGATTAGTAATGCCAAGTGTACTCAAAACTGGTGTGGCATTTGCATTGTCATTTCCTGTTATTTCATTCATTTTGCCTTCTCTCTGTGCACTGGCTGTTGTACTTCTTGACCAAAATCTTATTGATTCGCAGCGTATTATCTTGTAAGTTATATGATACTTATTCAATTACAAAAAAAAAATTTACTTTCAACTTATCATCGTGTTGAAAATAAAAAAGGAAACAAATGTTAACATTCATCTACTCATTTGATATATTTTTGAAACTAATCAAGAATTCACCATATTTTGAAAAACACTAACACATGTTAACCAATATTTTCTGATGAGAAATCGCTTAACTTTTTATTGTTTAGTTTTTCTACAAAAAATACAAATCTTTGACATACTGTTCGACGTCTTTCATCAATATAGCTCATTTCTTTCCATGTATTACAGGTTATTCGCTTTTATACCATTATCACTGGATGTGATACAAATATCCACAGTTGTGTATGTACTAAATTAGTTCATGTATAGATGCTACTCACCATGCTGCATAACAATAACTCATTGCTAATACTATAAACAATCTATATTCTTAATATAATGAATAAAATCAAATGATTCAAACTTCTTTTGATTTTCACAGGTTCTACTGATAAGTTTACAGACCGATGACTTCCTACAAATTTCATTTTTCATGTATATAAATTTAAATATCTTCTTGAAGTTGTAATTTCAACAGAACATTTCGTTGATGTTATCTTCCTTTAGTTCAGTAGTTTGTAATTCATTGATTACGATAATACTATCAACTTGCACAGTTGAAATAGAATATTAAAGTGACCATTGTTTGACTAATTCAATTCATTTCGTATCTTATAGAAATTTCGAATCGTGTATTACTTGCACTGATTTAATAATCCATGAATTTATCCTTACCTGAATTGAATGAAATATGTTAAAAGCCCAAAAATTTCTATCACTCATTTTCATTCATAATTTTTTACATGTTTCTGTTTAATGCTAAATAAAGTAGTTGCTTAGGTAAGTTCGAATAATCTTGCCAATCGGTTTAGTTTACGTGTAGCATATAAATAGAAAAATAAACATTGAGTTGTCAATAAACCATTTGAATTTCAGCCATGTAAAAAACAGTGATGCGAAGAATGGATTCTATATCGATTATAATCAAAAATATGGAAATCACATTGATCATTCTGATTATTTTTGATTAAAAGCGGTTTCATAATCGTAGTGAAATCATTTATAATCATACGAAATTGATTAAAAATGTATTCTTTTACACAATTCTAAATCCGTTTCAATAACAAAAATTTATCAGAAGAATCAATGCGATTTCGATATCTTTGATTATTATTTTATTATAATCGGTTAAAGATGTGCGCTTTGAATTGATTAAAAATCGATTTCTTTGTGATTCTCATATAATTTTTTTACATTGAGAGATCTATCCTTATTAGTCGAGTTTTGTGACATATGATTGTACATGAGTGTGTCAATTCTTATCAAATCCAGTTCATTTTTGTCTAAGCTGTCTTTTGTTTTGATTATATGCTCAAATTCATGTCCTTGTTGCTCAACATCGAAGCATGCTATCTTCTTTTCAAGTAATTCTTTTAAATTTAAAACAACGATTCTTGCTGTTTTGCACTGTTGTTCGATTAATTTTGTTGAACGATACTGACTATTAGTGTTTCTTAACTATCTCAGCAGGCATATTGACATTTTGTTGGTCATCACTCCCACTTTCTATCACGGTATTAAGTCGAGATGCAACCTCGATCATTAGATCTCATGATGTGCTACAATGGTTTAGAATCCTCTAAAAACATGTCTATCTTTATTCTTTTCTTCTTTCCACTTTGAGAATTGAAACTGAAAGCTCACATTGAATCTTTCATTTACCTATTTCTCAGTGAGTTGAATACACTGAACATAGACAGGATCCAAATACCTTAAATTGAGAAGTCCCGCCAGGTTTCTCAAAAAGTTTCTTTTTTTTGTCAAATCAATCTAGTCGCTTGCATGGTATAAAGATTAATAGAAGAGCAATAGAATTCGATAGAATTCACATTGCCGATAGAGAAAGAGTCAGTGGAGCGTGAAAAATACAAGTAGAGTATGAAATGTGCTAGAAGAAAAGCTTTCTAGTAATCTTGAGTTTTTGTTATACTTTCTACTAGTTAACAAACATGATTAGCGTCTTTAAAAGGAAGCCGAAAATTGTCAGACACAAACTTACACTTACGATTATTTTATAAGGAGTTTTATAAAAATCAGATCGATTGCACATTTAAGTAAAATGTTTTATTGGTCTCCGAAAATTCATCATATCTGTAAGCTTTGAGTATGATTCTTCTATTATAAACTGATACAATGATGGTCCTAGATGAACATTTCTTTTGGTCCTCTAAATATACCAGTTGTTGGCTTTGAAAACTTCATCATTGGAATTGCCGAGAGCTTTTATTATTTCAATAACATACGGGCATCCCAATATGTAACACATTTTCTCGTAGTCGATAGCTTTCTTTAAACTATATGAAACCGCTGCATGACACCTTCTAGCATCTTTATAACAATGCAGAATGCTGTTTAACACCATATTTGACATGTGACTATATGTATGCACGATAGTTGATTATGAATTTTCTTCTGCCGAAATAGTTCAGCCGAATTTGCTCGATCAAGTGCATCAGCCAAAAGACTGAATCGACTTTTCAAACGTAAACCTATAATTGACAATTGGTCAATGGAAGGCAACAAAATTGTGAGACTTCCAGACAAAAGCTTGAAATCTTACTATTTTTTGAATTCACAGGAGAATTTTTCTGGATCGATAGGGTTTGAAAATATTGTGTTTGCATATCCAACACGCAAAGCGATAACTGTACTGGATAAATTTCATTTAGCAATAAAATCCGGTTTGTCAGTTTTGTTCATTTTTTTCAATACTTGATTGTCAATTTGCTTTCAGGTCAAAGTGTTGCGCTTGTTGGTAAGACAATCTATTGAAAACCGAATCAAGTGAAAAATCCTTCTTTGTTTATGAAAGGTCCAAGTGGATGTGGTAAATCCACAGTAATTCAATTGCTCGAACGGTTTTATGATTGCAATCAAGGATGTGTGGTATGTGATAAAGGTCTCGCTTTTACTACTATACGAAGAATTAAATCAGTTCTAACGACATCTGAACGTGATAAAAAGAAACAGAATGGGAGTTTATGTAATTTATATTTTGTGAGACTTTTTTATTTTATTTTCGTGTTCTTTTCAGTTTTACGAATGGATAAGATTGAACATCACCCATTGGACGCTCAAACGTACTTTGAGCCGTGCTTTTTCATCAATGATGACTCGATGTGATGAACTATTATAATCAATATGTTTTGTCATCTATCCTTAAAGGATATCTCACAGGAAAAAGCCGCATTTTAAATTAAGAATACAAACGCTAGAATCTATTATTCTACGGTCCGAACCGAATCCTAGCTATTAAAGGATTATTAAGGATACTTCGAGCTTTGTCAATAAATCACCTCAGCTATGCATAGGAGAAAAATGCAGTCCGAACTTTCCTACCTATATGGTTCAATACTGATTGTATCTCTTACTTTCGGAAGTGAGGAGATAGGAAGTTCTGACCAAAAATTCATGATCATTTCAACTTACTAGTCAAATGAAATCAGAGAATATTCTTTTACTTAAGAGAGTTTGTGAGACCAATACCTCATACTAACTGTGCATAGTTTTCGACTTCGATTTTCTTCTGTCATTTAAGAAAGCCGTGCCTGAAAAGTTGTTGATAAAAAATGAAAACAATCGAACAAGTCTGTAAGGATTTATCAAGATGAAAGATGGATAACTTCTGCTATATTACTTGAGTTCTGTTCAGTCTATAAGTGCCAGACTTTTCCATTCGTTTTTTCTCGTGGAATCTCACAAAGGAATGGTATTACTGTAGGGAACATGAAAGCGCGGTTAGATAATGAATTCCATACTACTGATCCAGTTTGAATCTTCAGGTCTATGCTTTCATACATGGACACTGCTGAATTAATCCCATTTTGTTGAATAAAGGCGCCAAAGTTCTTGAAAGAATCCGATAATCCCTTGATGAACTCAAAGCATTCCTTTAGGAAATATGTTTGATGTGATGATGCTTCTTATTTCTGTATTATCATTAGTCACTTGACGGCCATGATATACGAACATTGAGTTTGTCTTGGTTACGCTCACAAATTGGCCTTGTAAGTCAAGAACCTGCTCTTGTATGCGATCTCACTGTGGCAGAAAACATCGCCTATGGTCAAGCATCCAATGAATTTACTTATGAAGATATTGTTCGTGCTGCAAAACGAGCACATTGTCATGATTTCATCCAGACTTTACCTCAAGTCTGTTATTTTCATGAATTTCAAATTGGAAAACAGTTTATTTTTGCATTTTGGTTTGTAGGGTTACAATACATCGGTTGGGTATAATGGAGTGTTCTATTTATCTGGTGGTCAAAAACAACGCATTGCCATTGCTCGAGCTCTTTTTCGTAATCCCAAAATTTTGTTACTGGACGAAGCAACAAGTGCACTCGACGTGCAAAATGAACAGGTATGCGAATTTAAGTTATCTAATTTTTCAAGTATGGAAACAGATTAAAATTCGAAAACTGCATTTGTTTTTGATGAACACTCCCCTGTGTCTACATAAAACGATGTTCTCTCACTAATATGTTATTGACTAAACTCATCAAAGTCATTTACTGTGAAAGTACTGGATCTTTGACTGGATTTATACATGTGATTAGACCTAGCACCATAGTACATGATATTAAGAAAAAGATTCTTTCTTTCATTCTTTCTTAATCGAACTTATTAAAAAATAATTCTTTTTTTCTTTTTGTTTTCAGCTTGTTCAAGAATCGCTCAACATCGCGCGTCAAGATGACCCTTCGCGCACTGTTATCATCGTTGCCCATCGCTTATCGACCATTCAATCGTGTGATTTAATATGTGTATTCGGTTACGATGGATGCTTGCTTGAAAGTGGCACTCATGCGGAATTGATGGCACTGCGCAACGCTTATCATAGGCTGTTCCTTGATCATGTCGAAGGAAGAGATAATTCATAAAAAGTCTATTTCAATTAAAATTTCAATATAATTTTTCAATATTTGATACTATTATTACATTTAACATTATTAATAAAAACTTGGCATAAGTCTCAGCAGAGAAGGGAAACTGGCTAAAAGCAGTGGATTCCGAAAGATTCACTAGATTTTTGGAAAAGGCACCATAATCTCCTACTTAGAACATGATATGGCCAAAAAGCCTGCGATAGAAAAAAAACTCCAAGCTTTCAAACATTCGTAGGAATGATTCTTCATTTTCTTCCACATTAGGCCAACCCATCATCGTAGATTTCGACTCTGAATGACTTGGTCTGTATATTGCATCGTGTAAATGACGATCTATAATCAAAAATTGAAACGATCAATCAAATAATATCTATGATAGCAGAGTGACAAGATGGGAATAGCATGAAGATTATGTCATATATAGTGGAAAACGTCGAAAAATACGAAAAATATAGGGAAAAGATGTATTTGGTGAAACACCATCTAAGAGGAGTGTTGAAGTATATGCTGTAGAAATTTGAACCTCCCTCAACAAACCTTGACACTCACCCCTACCTTAGGTACGAAAGAAGCTCAACATGTGATAGAATGTACATGAAGTTCTATGAAAAACAATATTAGGACTCGAATGTTGTTGCTGTCTATCTCCGTTCGAAAACAATGTTAGAGAAAGCTCTGTGTACCCTTCGATACAGAATGGGTGCAGATGAATGTGAATTCTTCTCTTCATCTTTCCCCTAGCATCAATTGTGACAACCGCACTCACACTCATATCCGATCTATTAAAATAGCACCTGCAATTTTCTATCTCTCTGCACATAAATGTCTTTCTTGTGTACTCTCTTCTGTACTTCTTCATGCAAATCTTGTACATGCCACTTTGTAATACTTCTCCGAAACTTGAAGTGTAGATAACATTAAGGTTAAAACTGTAGAGTGGTAAGTTAGCCATATACATGTAAGTCATTTAATTTTTGTAAGGTTAATAATTTGCTATCGTTGTGCGGGTTTCTTTAGCGCAGCATGGGAACGTGAAGCTTTTATGAATATTTTCTGGTTATGTGATTATTTATGAATGCAATTCCTTGATGACAATAAATGCAAAACAAACAACTGAAGAGTAGATCTGTACCCTTACTCATTCACTCACATTCTGAAATAATATGTATGATAGGATCGAGACGAGGTAAACTTTCTTGCTATATACTTCAGCTGCTATTATCTATTGTGTTTTACAAAACCCCTTCAACAACCCAGAGAACTGAGGTCCGAAAAGCTTTAACAGCATCCGATAGATCCACGAAAAGACCAGAGCCTACTTGTTGGATTTGAATTGGTTCGATTCAAAAGAACTCTCCTTATTCTATTACACACTTGTGCATTTCATAGGAATATGTTCGAATATGTTACTGTAAATAATGAATTTATTGAAACTTATTTTCAAAAAAAAGGAACTTGTATCGTACATCAATATGAATTATAGTTTACATATGGAACCAAACTGGCATCAAAAGTCGTATGAGAGAAGAAGTTCAAGAAAACTCGGCAAAAATTTAACGGCAACACCATATGTAGATTGTCTCCTCAGTGTCAGTCGTAGTTTTGTTCGAAGCTTTGTTCTTACATGGAACATTGTTTCGCTGATGATGGCTTATCCATTAATGCCAGATCTTGTTCATCGATCGATTTTGCCTCGATTTCACGATGCATATTTTGTGCAAGACAGTCCGAAAGAGGCATCAAAATGGAATTATCGATCATCAATTTAATCAAACTATGTGCCTGTGCCGGGATCGCTCGTGGAACTTTGAATTGTTCGGAGTGAGTGCCTTGTTGTATTTGTGCTGCAATATAAATAGACAATATTATGGCTCATCAGGATTAATGCTTTAAGTTAATAAAATGTTCTTAAAAATTTAAGTGCAAAGTGCGGCGTCCTTCTTAATGTAAATTTCCTTACTGACCATGCCATACAAAATGCAAGTTTTCAACATGTAGTAATTACAAACAGGAGAGATGCGTTTAATGCGAGAAGAAAAAGTGAGATTTCATTTACTTAAAATAAAATTTAAGAAAAGGTTGAAGCATAAGAGAAATACTCATTCCGGAAGTCTCACTTTTTTCTTCTTTGGCTTCAACGGAAATTCTCAACACATTACTAATTATCTTAAACATGACTATGGACAAAGTTAACCCTTTCCAGCCGGATGTTGCCTTTTGGCAACATTTTGCCAAAATCAACCTGGGATTTATCTTAAAGTTATGAGATATAGTTCCTTAAGTGATTTGATAATTAACTGCACGCATTTTAGCGCAAATCTATGCCTTCGCAAGAAAGAAGAAAGCTATTATTGACGAGAGAGATGAATTCCCCCACCAAGACCCAAAACGGCCTCCGAGTCGAAATGATCTGTTTTCCATTTGTCCAGCATTCGATGCAAGAAGTGACTAGTGGTTAATTTTCCTCTCCAGATCCATTATCTATTAGACCAATAAGATGAATTATTCAGCATACTCGAAGAACAGAATACCAACATGTTGCCTTTTGGCAACATCCGGCCGTAAGGGTACAAAAAGCTGGAAAAGGTCAATTAGTTTTCCTCGATGGAAGCCCAATAATTTGGTGTTAGTTTTAGTTCAGGCTGTCAAAGGAAAGCATATTTTGTTCATCTGCCCATCTCTTACAGTTTTAAGGTGAGAAATATTCCAATAATACTCAAAAACTGATCAAAATAACGTAAATTTCACCAATTTTCCCTAGAGAAGCTCACAAATTCAGTGAGATTCTAACAAGATTCGTAATGTTTTATAATAGTCTGAATAGCAATACTATAATGTACTGTAAATCTTGTTAGAATCTCACTGAATTTGTGAGCTTCTCTAGAGAAAACTGATGAAATTTACGTTATTTTGATCAATTTTTAAGTATTATTGGAATATTTCTCATCTTAAAACTGTAAGAGATGGGCAGATGAACTAAGTATGCTTTCCTTTGACAGTCTGGACTAAAACTAACACCAAATTATTGGACTTCCATCGAGGAAAAATAATTGACTTTTTCCAGCTTTTTGTACCCTTACGGCCGGATGTTGCCAAAAGGCAACATGTTGGCATACGGCTCAATATCGGTTCTTTAAACTCCAAGATGGAATTCGGTAACCCCCCACACCTAAAAGACAAAGAATATATAGAAGTTGAAATTTTTGCTTGCTGTCTTCGAGTAGCCGGCCGGAAAGGGTTAACATACCTTAAATATGGAAAATAAGGAAAACTTTTCTACGAACAGAAAAAGATAGGATTTTCCATAGCGAATCTCAGAATAAAGCACGAGGTGTTTCTTACATCAAAAGGTGACAGCGATGGTCTCTTAAATAAAAGCATGTGTTTTGTTTCAATCCTGTCTCTTTTAATTTAAATGAGCGGCGAATGAGAAAAATCATAGAAGACAACAAAGTGCGTACACTGAAAAATTTTGAGAGGGATGTACTACTCCTTGACAATGTACGTGAAAAAACTATCAATTTCGAATGATGTAAATTTTTGGTTTCGATTAGTTGTTTGAGTTTTTGGAGGTTTCAATATCCATTGTTGTATCCGAAACTAACAGCAAGTTTCATGTGATCAAATGAAAAGATATTAGAGCAGACAATAACCAGTGAAAATTACCAGAAGTTTGCATTTATTAAATAACTCTCGTTATCTTCGATATTATTTTATTCGATACCATGAAATCTGGCAACAGGATCAGATAGAACAATCGAAATAGACGGTGCAAAATCCAAGGAATAGGAAAAAAACAGCAGTTTGCATCACGTATATCAGCTATTTCTGACATTAATTTTCAAGAACTCATGCGGCCTTGATTGTAAAAATCAAAAAGACCTATAGAGATGTTCTCTTTTAAAAGCCGCATCCTCTCTTCTACTTTCAGAGTCGACGTCAATTTTCACGAACAATTCACAGTTAAAAACTTTTAAAAATGTTAATTATGATTAGGAACGATCTTTTGTCAAAGGTTCAACAATCACATTGTTGGCTAGAAGAGAAAGAAAACAAATCTAGCTTTGATATAAAACACTCGTACGAAAAGGGTTGAAATAAAGGCTCTTACGTTGATAATGGTCACATAAGCTGAGAAGAATCAATTAGTATAGAAGTCTTTAATAATACATGCAATATGTTGCCTACTACGTAATGAGTCCTACCATCTCGTAATTTTACAAACGTGCCATTTTGGCAAAGACGAACATGAACAGGTTTCAAGTATGCGATGCTACGATAACACAAATATACAAGATTTTTTTTGCATAACTTGTCGTCTATCGTTGAAGCAAAGTGTTTCCAGTTGACTTGCATATGTTCCACATCAACAAATCCCGGCTTCAATTCAACAAAGATTATATGGTAAAATGTGTGGTTTTCATTGGTTGACATTGCACAATAATCAACTAATGTTTGATGAATAATACTATTATCTTTCTTGTTGGAATCATCGATAGCTTCCGATAGTGCTTCAATGATC